TCTTTACTATAAGCAAATTGTGTAAAAAAAAAAAAAAAAAAATACTGATCACTTCCCCAAAGTAGTACAATGTTACTATGGTAACATTGTACTACTTTGGTCATAGTAAAATATGAAAAAAATCTTTAAAAAAATAAAAAAAATGTAATAAAAAATTAAATATAATAAAAAAAATAAATAAAATTATATATATATTTTTTTTTCATACTGTCACCATTCAGTGTCCCTATTCACCGCCATGCCAGTTGTATGATGACGCTGTACTGCACTGGTGACAGTATGTAAAAAAAAAAAAATAGTGAAAATTATTTTTTAAATTTTTTCATTTTCCAAAAAATTATGACAAAAAAATACAACTTAAAAAAACTCGCCATGCCTCTTATGAAGTACGTCGGACTGTCTACTTTGCAAAAAGGGGTCATTTGGGGATATCTGTACTGTTCTGACATTCTTGGACCTCAAGAAATTAGATTGGCCGTCAGTAGTTCAGGATTGATCAATATTCAGATATATACCATAGTTTGTGAACTCTATAACTTTCCTACAAACTAAATAATACATCCTAATTTGGGTTATTTTCACCAAAGACATGTAGCAGAATACATCTCGGCCTAAATTTATGAAGAACAATTATTTATTTGTAAACTTTTATAACAGAAACAAAGAAAAATGTGTTTTTTTTTCAAAATTTTTGGTCTTTTTTTGTTAATTTAGCAAAAAATAAAAACCCTAGCGGTGATAAAATACCACCAAAAGAAAGCTCTAGTTGTGTGAAGAAAATGATAAAATTTTAGTTTGGGTACAGTGTTGTATGACCGCGCAATTGTCATTCAAAGTGTGAGAGCGCTGAAACCTGAAAAATGGCCTGGGCAGGAAGGTGTAAAATTGCACAGTATTGAAACGGTTAAGAAGTTTTTACTACTGTGTAATTTTTGGAAGATTTTCCCTCACTTCCTATCTGGTGAAAGCAGACAGTGAAGGGAAAGCTTTCTAACTGAGCCTTGGATAGCTGTAAAACCTGATAAGGGTACCATAACTTATCCAAGCCAAATCAAATCTTAGAGATGAGTCAAGACCAGCTGAAGGGTGTATGGTCAAAGGACATGTGTAGACAATACAAGGCATCAAGAAAGAACCTTCAGACAGATACAACACCACTGGAGTGCTGGGAAACTTTGGCTAATTGACTACTACTGCCGATTGTCCGTGCAGCTTGGCATTGCCAGCCTATGTTCTCATAATATCATGAAATAAGAGCACTGCCTCTGAAAACAATTTTGTCAGACAATGGTAAACTGACAAAAATGTCCAACAGCAGAAGCCAACCTTTCATGGGAATGAAGTATCCCGAGGTGAATTAAGTTTTGGATAGCGTAGAGATGGATTTGACGTGGGGGAAATCTTTCAATGGGATCTTTCAATGGGGTCATCTGTTCTGGTGACAACTGTCTAAGAGGGAAAAATCCTCCACTCCAATTTATTTTTCACTTCCTTTAGTATCTCAGAAGTAAAATAAAGGAAAATTTCCCCAACAGGACACAAAGAGCAAAACACACAGACAGCACTTTCTATAAAAGACTAGATGTGAGCACATACTTTGGGGTTAATTTACTAAAACTGGAGAGTATAAAATCTGGTGCAGCTGTGCATGGGAGCCAATCAGCTTCTTACTTCAACTTGTTCAATTAGGCTATGACAATAAAATCAGGGAGTTGATTGGTTTCTCTGCAGAGCTGCACCAGTTTTTGCACGCTCCAGTTTAGTATATAAACCCCTAGGTCTCTTCTGCAGTAAAAGATTCTTATCTGCCTGCTTGCAATCTTTGTAACAATACAGAACAAGCCTTGTTACAGATAATGGGACTTTAAAGGTGCCAGCAATGCAAAATACATAAAAGATACTTTCTTGCTACATGTATCATATGTATCATTCAATAAAATCCATCATCATAAAATATCAATTACTCCCCACATTTTATATATATATATATATATATATATATATATATATATATATATATATATATATATATATAGTTGGAGTTGGTGGACATGCCATTGTAGCAGTTGTTGATGATTGTGCAGGTGCCCTCCTTGGCAATTCATTCCATGCCCCCCCATATTGTTTTTTTTTTTAAAAATCAGTGTATCGCCCCTATTGTCCCCTCCTGATATCCACTAGTGGCCCCCTCTGGGTGGGCGCAACACATCTATATTACATAGAACATCTTCCCAATGAAGCTATCACCAAACATGTTAAAGAAACTGTTTGCCAGTGTCTGTGCACAACTAGCTTCATTTATGGAAAATACACTCACCGGCCACTTCATTAGGTACACCTGTTCAATTGCTTGGTAACACAAATTGTTAATTAGCCAATCACATAGCAGCAACTCAATACATTTAGGCATCTAGACCTGGTGAAGACAAGTTCAAACCAAGCATCAAAATGGGGAAGAAAGGGGATTTAAGTGATTTTGAACGTGACATGGTTGTTGGTGCCAGACAGGCTGGTCTGAGTATTTCAAAAACTGCTAATCTACTGGGATGTTCACGCACAACCATCTCTAGGGTTTACAGAGAATGTTCCAAAAAAGAGAAAATATCCAGTGAGTGGCAGTTGTGTGGATGAAAATGCCTTGTTGCGGTCAGAGGAGAATGGGCAGACTGTATTGAGATGATAGGCAACAGTAACTCAAATAACCATTTGTTGCAACCAAGGTATGCAGAATACCATCTCTGAATGCACAACATGTCAAACCTTGAAGCAGACAGCTACAGTAGCAGAAGACAACACCAGGTGCCACTCCTGTCAGCTAAGAACAGAAAACGGAGGCTACAAATTGCACAGACTCACCAAAAAAAATTTGCCTGCTCTGAAGATTGGAAAAACGTTGCCTGGTCTGATGAGTCTTGATTTGAGCTGAGACATTCAGATAGAAGGGCTAAAATTTGGCGTAAACAACATGAAAGCATGGATCCATCCTGCCTTGTATCAACGGTTCAGGCTGGTGGTGTAATGGTGTGGGGGAGATTTTCTCGGCACTAGCAAGGTGTACCTAGTAGAGTTGCCGGTGAGTCTATTTGCAGAATTGTTAAGTCAAATGATACAGGTCATACTGTGCAGTTCTTTTAAAATGATGGATTATAATGAATGATACATGTAGCATAAAGGTATCGTTTAAATATTTGAATGTGTTTTGCATCACTAGCACCTTGAAAATAAGATGTAATAAGGCTTTTCCTGGATCCTCAACTGGAGATCAGGTGCCCAAGTGACTTCCCATCAGTCCTCATTTCTAACTAATTTAAATCTTTCTGCAAGGTACATATTGAGTTACAGATGTGCAGCTCAGTGTACAATTTTTGCATCTATTGGAATGAAAAAACTCAGAAGATGACTAGGTGAAGATGGCTCAAGCAAGGTTGCTTGCAGACATTGCATCCCTGGAGGAGAGGTGTGTATGGTTCCAATTTTGTCTTCCCCTTAGGCTGGCCATACATTTTACAATTTTCCTGAGATTTTTGAATCTTTGTTTAAATTTACCAAAAACCATATAATAGGAGTTCAAACCTAACAAAACTTTTAATTGTATCGAATTAGGCACGCCCTTGCACTACATAGTTGAAGGTAAATCTGAAGGAAATCGGGCAGAATTTGGACAGAAAATTGTATAGTGTATGGCCAGCCTAAGACTCCAAAGCACTTCATGAAAATTGAACAATTTCACTGAAATTCATAGGAATTTGAGGAAATTGAAAACTTAGTTTGTTTTATCCTTAAACAACAGTTGTCTCCATACTATGGCTTGCTACAAGATTTTTTCTGGCGCCAACTGATGTGTACAGTCTCAGTGGACTCAGATGGGAGCTCTGATGTAAGGGGGTACACTGATGGGGACCCTGATGTAAGGGGGTACACTGATGGGGACCCTGATGTAAGGGGGTACACTGATGGGGACCCTGATGTAAGGGGGGACTCTTATGAGGACACTGATGTAAGGGGGACTCTGATGATTTTTTTTTTCGACCTTTATAAAAGACTCAAATTTATTTGCAATTTTTTTGCTTTTTTTTTACTGAAGTGCTTTCAGTTATTTTCTGTTGTTCTAAATCCTACCATATTGAATGCAAAAAAGCTCCAAGTACAAAGTAATCATTCATTTGTAAAACTTAATATTTTTAAAACATTTAATGTGGCCCTCATACTAAAAATTTGGAGACACCAGTTATAGAAGAATGTAAAATGACCAATATCCAATGTCAATGTGTACCACAGCTTTTATTTGTTTAGTTTAAGCTATCTGCTGATCATTCAATAAGTTTTTTTCACCTAAATCATTTTTACTGTCTAGCTTTCAAAACTATTATGTCCCCTAAAAGCAATTAGTATAAATAAGTAAGACTAATTTTAAACATTAACCATTGATTATATTAGATAAGAGATACTTTCATTAGAACACCAAAGTATAAAGGAATTTCCATTTGCATCAGGCAAGTGATCATTGTCTGTGTTTTAATCATCATATCAAATATTTCTGTAAACTCTATCACAACTTCAACCAGAAGTGCTCAATCGATGGGTCGGTACCACAATCAGGGTCCCACAATCTGTTGTTTTGGGTGCCAGATTTGCAATACCCTTAACTAACACATGTGGGGTCTTGGAAAAAATGGCAACATTAACTAAATATATTGCAGACATTGATGAGCCATTATTTGCCATCTTCCAAAAGATTGACTACCACCAAAAGATTGACCACTGTGGTTTTTGTAGAAGCCTCTGCACTCTGCACTGGATTGTGTTTCCTACATCAAAACTACCAAAACAATTCAACGTTACTAAACCAAAATGTATTATGCAATTCTAACACGGGTTACATGGACTCTGTTGCCACTGGGAAAAGAAAGAATATTTGTTGAAGCACAAAGTTTGTTTTATACATAAAGTCTTCCCTGACAATTGTTGATAGGGTACTCTAGTTTATCAACAAAAGTTCTTCAACCAGATGACAAATAGGGTGTCTCACTATGGTAATTATAATCAGGACAAACTTTTTGCACAAGTTTATAGTCAATGCTGAAGAAAGCAATATATATGCAAATAACTTTAAAGGGTTTGGAACACAACCAGGATACATGGCTCTGGGTTTGTTCTTGGTAACAGATTTTAGAAGGATCAAAGTTGCACAAAGCAGTCTTCTTGGCTCTGTCTGTTTTCTCATACTCAATCCGGCAGTTGAAGGATTTGGTGTCTTTGTTCTCTAGGGTAGACTGAGCAGAAGGTTCAAACTCCACCACTTTGGAGGGTGGAACGAGACTCACAGAAACATTCCCAAGCCCTGTGGAGTTATGGCGAAAGTAAACACTGAAGGTGCCATTTCCATGGTCTACGATTTTGCCCGTGATGAGTAGGTTCAACTTGACAGTTTTAATGTTGGAATGAAAATCCCCCCAGCCGAACATTTTTTTAAACTTTCCGGTTTTAACAATAGGCCGCCGTTTAGTTCGTACTAGAGACTCTTGGGTGTCGGTGATGTTGGCGAGCCAGTTCCAGAAGTGCTCTGTGGTGTCGAAATAGGAGAGCTGACCTTGCCTTTGTAGAGCTGACTGCTTGACAAACAGACGTAAAGGGCTGTGGACCCTGCTGTGGACCACATTGTTCGCCAGATTCTCGGAAGTGTCCTTCTCTGACCACTTTAGTGCATCTGTTGCTTGCAGTATTTCTTTGTCACAAAGAATCTAATAATAGAATAACAAAAAAAAAAAAATTTAAAATGAAATTCCAGCTTGAATCACCATGTTGTAGCATGTATGTAGGAAGACAAGTGAAGCTATAGGGTTATATGTATGTTCATGCAAACATTGGCTGAGTTTTTATTTCCACATTGAATCACATTCCAAGTTGGCGATAGGTTCACAGGCCAGAGAAGGCAACTGACTTAATTTTTCCTATGCACCACAGGGTAGGCATAGGTATAGCACAAACCAGGGGCGGACTGACCATTCGGGCACTCAGGCACTGCCCGACGGCCCAGGGTCAGTAGGGGGCCCCATGAGATGCCCCTGGTACCTTTTCATAGGCTTTTTTGGGTGTGGTTTGAGCGAGGACACACGGGCCCCATGAGTTGTCAGTCCTCCCCTGGCACAAACTTTTTTTTTTTTTTTTTTTGGTATAGTGAAATGAAGGCTTAACTACCCTGTCAGCTTATCTTTTGTTGCCATGTTCTGTTGGGGAAGACTTCCTGTACTGGAAATTCAACAAGAAATAGGAGGAACTCTGTATAAAATAGAATTTGTCCCCACTGATGAATTACCCTCACCTCTTGTTCTGGTAAAAGCTCTAAAAATGCTTAACTTTTCCATCGCTTCCTCTCTTCATGTTAATAGTCACCAGGACAGATCACAAGGATAAATCTATAAAACTATAAATCTGTGTGGTGCATGCTTCCACTCTATCATAAATTAATTGTAAAATGTGCTTGAGGTGATTGTAGCCGTATTAGTGCATTTGCAACAGAAACAATTGAGTACTGTCCGTGATACTTTTTATATTTGCACTAACATACAATTTTGAGGACAAGCTTTCGGGGAGTGTCCCCTTCTTCAAGGTCCAAGCAGTACTATACCTGCTTGGACCTTGAAGTACTTGGTATAGTACTGCTTGGACCTTGAAGAAGGGGACACTCCCCGAAAGCTTGTAAAATGTGAAAATTTGATACTACAATTTTCACATTTTATAATTAATTTTTGATGGAGTGGAAGCATGCACCACACTGATTTACAATTTTGCTGTATGCGGGGACATATATACTGTAATGTTGGCAGCTTTTCCTGAAGTATAGGTTGGTGCACCTTTTTATTATTTCTAATTTTAAGATGTGAATCTGTGAAGTGGGACTCAAACATTGAAAACATGACAAGGGTTCTAACCCTTCACCAATCTATTCAATGCTACAAAAAGAAGTGTTGGCTATTCATACACTTTATGTATGTGTCATTGTGCTGAGGGTCAGGTGTGTTTTACTTTTTTGTATTAATGTGAATTGGGGTGCCATTAAAAAGTAATAGCAAGGCACCGCAAGGTGTATCAAGTCCTATGGTACCATACAACATGTGAACACCATGGCAAAAATAATTTCAGGGGAAATCTACAATAACCCAGAATGCCTCCTAATAAAACACACAGTACTAATTGCTACTGTATCAATTGGCACAAAGCATCAATATCACACCAAAAAATCATATAAAAATATATAATAATGTATTTTATACAAAAAATGGTTAATACAATTGCAAACACAGAGTACTAATTAATTCAGCATCAATTGATACTGTGTGTTTGTGTGATTTATTAACTATTTGTATATTAAATTATTGTACATTTATTATTGTTTTTGTATGATATTGAGTCTTTGTGAATGCCAAAGATACATTTTTATGTTTTATTATACTTTAGAGACATTCTGGGTTAGACTGTAGATTTTCACTGGAAATTTGTTTGGAGTGGCCCATTGACTGGAATTTGTTTGGCATGACCTTTAGAGTGCATTCACCTGTGTGCGCATGTTGTATTGTCTGTAGCGATTGACTTAGCTTGCAGGTTAGGCACTATGCTATTAAATTTTGAATGGTACCCCAATGCATATAAATACGCACACACACCTGACCCTTGGTGCACTATAACATAAATATACTATTTTCGTATGAAATAAATTATAGAATTTTTATATATTTTGATATGGATTTGTGGGATATTGATGCGTTGTGAATGCTAACGTCCTATCAGGGGCGGACTGACCATTTGGAAACTCAGGCACTGCCCGAGGGCCCGGGGTCAGTAGGGGGCCCCATGAGATGCCCCTGGTACCTTTTTCATAGGCTTTTTTGAGTTTGGGCAAGGACACAGGGGCCCTATGATCCCCTATTGCCTGGGGGCCCCATGAGTTGTCAGTCCGCCCCTGCGTCCTATGTTTTACAATACTTTAGAGGTACATTTTTGGGATGCTGGCACTCACAATTTACCAATAATAAAAGGATTTCACTCATCTATTTAAAGGTTTTTAGTGACCTGGAATGTGTAATCACTGCAAGGTCTTTGTAAGTGTAACCAACTTCCTAATTTAAGAAGACATACAGAAAAAAGCTTCTGTTCATCATGTTACGATTTCCAATCTAGAATGTTGAAAACCCTTTTTTTCTTTTTTCAGCCCTCCTGATAATTGCTTATCTTTGCCTATGGATTCAAAATGCCACTGTCATGTGCTGCTTTTCAGCTTTACAATTCAAAATTGGCTGTTCTTTCTCATAATTACTATGTATGTGAGAAACAGGTTAAAGCTTAAAGTAGAACTTTATTCAGAAAATTAAGTCTTGATTGATGACTTCAGACTAGCTCATTTTGCAGGTATAACTATGTAAAACATTAAATATAAGTGCCTATACGGCTTAAAATCCAGTAATGCACTGTCTCTCCCTGCTCTGCACGTGTTCAATTACTCTGTATTCTCGATACTGTACCTAAAATCAGAGCTACCAGAGGCCGATCAGCTGACCGCTTTAAAGTTTTTTGTTGCTGAAGTGGGAAGAAAGCAACAGGACTGATCATGCAGAGAACATAGATCAGTTAAAAGAAAAGCAGGAGAGGTGACAGGACAAACTCTGCTACCAGGAAGACACTAAGGAGTGTAAACTTACAAGGATAGTGTCTTATCTTATCCCCCTGATATTCTCTCCTTTCTCAGCAGCACTGTAAAGCTTCTGACAGCCCTCCTCTCTATTTGAGCCAAGACATACAATTAATGCTGGAAATGAACCTAATAATTAATTGAAGAAAGTGACATATAATTGTTTGAGACCGAGGATAGGGGGAGAGATTCTAATAAGAAAGTTACTGCTCTGCGCTTCAACACAGTGGCGGCCTCCAGCAAAAAAAGCAGGAGCAATGTAGGGGGCAATTTACAGCACACACTAATTTTGGCAGCATAAATATTCAGGTGGAATGTATATTTTGTTTTTTTTCTGTTAAAGAACATTATTGTTATCAAACTGTGATGGGTATAATTTCGCTTTAACTCCAAGTAGGATGCTAGATTCACAATTGCAGTACATACATTATATGTGAACGGTGCTGAAGGATTTGAAAATCTGTTCAGATAGTCTTATAATTCAGACACCCTTGCCAGCCAGCACAGCCAAGTCCTCAACTGTCACTGCTGTGCCACCACACTTTGTTAGAGAAAACACCCCGTTTGCTGATTGGATTTGGTCTACCCTCTCTTCCTTTTAGCAGCAGAACCTGATTGGCTGCTAGTGCTGGACCGCCTTCTCCCAGGAGTTGCAAAAAGGATTACCTGAGCTTATACCCAGACAACTGAAGGCTCTTCCTTCCTATCCTGCGCTGAGACTGAGGCGAGTTCTCGGTCTCAGTGTGTCTCTCTTTTGCCCCCTGCAGATGGTTGGAGAAAGCTGAATTATTTCTCTAGCAGAAGCCAGCCGCTGATCCTGAAAGGAATGGCATTGCAGTTACTCCTGTCAAAGAGGTGTGACAGAAACATTTGAATCACGAATGCACCCCCAACCAACACAGTGCCTGGCCCCTTGTCCTGGCCCTAACTATGGGCCCCTCATGGACATGGTGCTTCTGGGCAGTGCGCAGGTGTACCCATTCATTAAGATGGCCCTGGAGGGGGGGCATTAGTGCAGTACTATTTTCATAGTTTTGAGCTACATATAAAAAACAAATGTTACTTATCAATGTAAACCTGAGCCTGGGACACAGTGCACAATCACCTTGATTAAATTAACTTCACATCGGAAGCTGTCCTTCACTTTGGAGGTCCCCCATCATATCAGACATCCCTCTTACATGTCAGAAGTCCTCCCATCCGAGTCCCTCCTATACGAGAAAGACCCCCATCAAATCAAAGTCCCCCATTACATTTTAGCCTCCCCATCTCTCCCTCTCCGCCCTTGTCCCCTGTCACCACAGAGCTCCCCCTCAAACACAGAGTCTTCCCTCCATCTCTGATCCAGGACAAACTGGGTCTTGTGTTTGAGGCACCCCGTGGGAACCCGAGAGGCACCCAAGGGTGCCAAACACTGTTTTAATGTATGAACAAATTAAGCAACTGGTGCTTTTTACATAATTTCTAAAGGGGCACTGCTACTTGTATAAATCCATCCTGCAGCATCAGAAGAAGAGACTGTGCATACACCCCTCCAGCAGACTGGGAGTCGAATCTTTTATTTTCAAGTGCTGGGCTTTGTGGTTCCTCCATAAGTCGCTTCATCACTGCACCCCAGCACACTGACCATTACCATTCTACTTTTTATATGGAGGAGTTGAAAATAAAAATGTAGTAAACAGTAGTAGTAAAGAACCTATTAGCTTCCTAGCAGGAGGGAGGAAATATAACAAGGAGAAATAGAAGGAGCAAGTTTGTGAAAGTAGAAAAATAAAGTAAGCTGTAGAGCAGGGGTATTGAATTAAAATTCAAGGAGGTCCGGTTACTAAACGTTTCTTCTGGCCGAGGTCTGAATAGGTTGTGCCCATCAGTGTGCCCCCTTACATTTGATGTCGCCATCAGAGAGCAGCTTTACATTATGTATTCCCATCGCATCAGGTGTGCCCATCAGAGTGCTCCTTTACGTCAGTTGTCGCG